GGTCTTTCACAAACTTGGCGAGGCCACCCAAACCTGCACCCTTGGCCTGGCCACCTTTTCCCGCAGGCTGAGAAGCACCGCGAGAACCTTTCTTACCGCCTGGCCCTTTGTTGGGACCCTGCGGAACCGCATGGCCCCCTTGTGGCGCAGACTTGCCTCTCGCTTTTCCCTTTTCGACATCCCGTTCCTGAAGCGCACGCTGCTGCCGCGACTGCTCGTACTGGTCGCGAGCTACTCTGACCAATTCCTGGCGCTCAGGCTCCGTGAGAACGTAGCGCATGTCGTCGATGTTCTTGCTCCGCAGAAAGTCATGTCGAAGCTGAAGGACAGAGATAATGGCTCGGCCAGTCTCCTCCTGAGACGCAAAGGCCGCGTCATATGCCGAGCCAGGCTGAGGAGCACCAGCTGGATCAGTGTCCGCTAGCTCCGTGGACTTCCTCTTTTTGAAAAGCAAGAGACTGAGATGAAAGAGGACTTTCGGATCGTACTCATCGTCGTACCTTTCGTCCCAAAACTGCCTCAGCTCCCTGTGCAAGTCGTTCGCGCGAGTTTGAACGACATCCTCGACGTAGTCGGGATCAGCCGGTGAAGTCGGTGAAAGCGGAGGAGTAGGGCTCGGCGACCGATCCCAGTGCACAGAAGACTCGGCGTCCGCCTGTACGCTGGCGTCGGCGTCGGAGACGTTTTCGACGACAATCTTCCGCCTCTTGCTCTCCCCAGGCTGAGAAGCACCAGGGGAGTGAGCACAACCGCCACGGCATCGTGTGCGTCGTTGCGCATGCCACGATCCGTAAAAGACGCGCCAACGGCAATCGAGCGGAAACGGGCGACTGCTCCGCAGACCGCGACGCGGTCGCCTTTGAGGTCGGCCGGAGTGGCAAGGACCTCCCAGAGCTTCTCGTCGTTCTGCTGGCGCTGGTAAGCCTCCCGCGCCTCCTGGAAAGTCAGGTTGTCGTCGCCGACTACAAGCAGAACGACTGGCACGTGCGGCTCCGAAGCATTGAGAATCTGAGCGATGCCGTCCAGGTGCAAGCGGAGATGGCGAACTGTCCGCTTTCGAGTCTGAATGGTCGGCGGTTTCTTGCCGCAGACGATGTGCATGTTGGCGATCACCACGTAGAACTTGTCATGGCCTGGTTTGTTCACCTCAAAATGTGAAATGACAGCATCAATCTCTCGCCCGCTAGGAGGCCTGTAAACTTGGCTGTCTTCGCACGGAGTCACTTCCGCAGGCTGAGAAGCACCGCGGAAGCCCCAGAGAGTCAAGTAGTTGTCGACCTCCGAGAAGCCAATGCCATCACCGAAAGGCTTACTGAGGATCTCTGTCACGTTGATCGCTGCTCGGCGAAAGCCTTCACGGAACGCACCGACCTCGCATGCACAGACAATATCAGCATCAGCGGTCTCCACTATCGTGGCGCACACCCTTCCGAAGTTAGCGCAGTGAGTGGCCGCCTGCTTACCAGTCATCATGCCCTGCTCGAACCCGAAATTGAAGGAGGCGACCGTGAAAGACGCAGGCTGCAGAGCGCCAGGACCAGGCGTCTGTCGACCTTCCTCCGCAGGCTGAGAAGCACCGCGAGGCGGCGACACTCCGGACGAGCCTCGCGGAGCAGAGGCTGCGGATGAACGTTCCATATAGCGGTACGGCCAGGGGAACGCCATTGCAATCGAAACTCTAGTGACGAGGCACGTTGAGTAAAATGGACTGCAGTGTCACTAGCAACTCCTGAACCAAGCACGGCTGTCGCGGAAGGAATATAAAATGTGACCCGAGACTAACCTAGTGAAAACTCAGAGAAATCAGTGTGTGTGTGACGGTTGTGTCAAGGAATTGAAAGTTGAGATGTGACAGGTCGACAAGGACACTGTGTATGAGTGTTGCATGATAGTGAGAGAACGAGTGTTGCCCAGGAGTGTCGCCCAGATATGAAGTTCTGAGAGGTCACAGAGCACAAAGTGTGTGACTGTCGCGTGGGATTACTCTGAGTGTATCCCGGGATTGCCGTTCCAGACAGCAAGATAACCCGGCGTTCTGGGAGGTCTCGGAGCACGAAGTGTGTGACTCTTGCATCCTGTTATTCCGAATGTGGCCTGGGAATGAAGTTCTGGGGTGTCAAGTACGAGGAATTGTATGACTGTTGCGTCCGGCTATTCCGAATGTGGCCCGGGAATGGCGTTCTGGGAACTCGAAGAGCACGAAGTGTGTGACTGTTGCATCCGGTTATTCTAAATGTGGCCCGGGAATGGCGTTCTGGGAACTCGAAGAGCACGAAGTGTGTGACTGTTGCATCCGGTTATTCTAAATGTGGCCCGGGAATGGCGTTCTGGGAACTCGAAGAGCACGAAGTGTGTGACTGTTGCATCCGGTTATTCTAAATGTGGCCCGGGAATGGCGTTCTGGGAACTCGAAGAGCACGAAGTGTGTGACTGTTGCATGTGCCGTTCTTGCACGAAGTGTGTGACTGTTGCATTATTCAGAATGAGCCTGGGAATGGAGTTCTGGGAACTCGAAGAGCACGAAGTGTGTGACTGTTGGTGAAAAACGAGCGGGGCCCCCTGCCGCCCGGCAACTCCCAACGCCTGCCCGGACCCCCCTGTGGAGTGATCTGTGAGCTCTTTTGAGTCAACTAGAAGCCTATCAGTCTTCGCTGTTAGGTAAAAACCAAAGTTTTCAAGCCCGCCAGAGATTTCATTCTTGCGGGCGAATCTAGCAAGAACGACCGAAACGTGCATGACATTATTACCAACTCTAACTTTGGCCCAGTCGGGTTCCGAAAGATTCAGAAGGGCCTGGGGGAAACTCACGCGAACGCAGAAGCCCTAGGCCAGTCTGAGCGATGCGTCTGGCGATGGAAACCCCGCCCGCCCGCCCGCCCGCCCGACCGTCGCCGGACCGCCGCCCGTCCGCCGCCCGCCCGCCGCGCTTCCGAGTTCAGCGCAACGCCCAGGACTCAACAGCGTCCGTTTTCATTGCAACACTCAGTGCTCGACAGATCCCGTTTCCAACACGACGCCCAGTGCTCAACAGCAGGCCGCTGCAAGAGAAACTCGAAGCACAAGGCGCGCCGATCCACTTAAGATCTCGCCGCGCAGGATCCAACTGTTCAGAATCCCGACTGCGGCGCGGCGCGCGAGGTCAAGTATCGGGCCGCAAACGACGCCCCGTTCGAACCTCGAGGGCGGTTACGTCGTGGCCTCCGAGCGCGGAGGCGAGCTGCCCTGGGCCGGAGAGGACCTCCTCGGCGACGCGCTCGCGCCCAAGCCGCAGTCGGCCGAGCGCGGCGCAGAGCCGCTCGCGAACAGGGCGGCTAACCTCGTATCGCTGAGGCGCAGCCGCTCCTGGACCACGGCGGGCGCCCTCGCCGCCGGCAGCGCTGGCCGGCCGCGCCTCCCGCGGCGGCGCGCTGACGGGCGGGCGCGTTAGCGGCCGCGCTCGGCGACCTCCTCGAGGGGCCGCCGGTCGACGCTTCCGTCGCGGCTCGCGCCGCCGCGCCTGAGGCCGCGGCAGGCCACCGCCAAGCGCTGCGCCCCGAGCGCGCCCGGCGCGCCGTCGAACACAGCGCGCAGCCGCTCGCAATCGAAACTCCAGAGCGGCTCGAGCGGCTCGGCCTTCGCCCGCAGCTCCCGCAAGACGGGCGCGATTCACTGCGGCTCTGGGGCGTCCAGCGGCAGCGAGTCGTCCGACTCCCCTGTTTTGCTCGGCATCTGCAGCAGCTCCTCGGGGCGCGGCAGCAGCGCCCGCTGGCGGATGCCCCCGGCGAGGCCCGCCGCCGGAGGGGCCAGCTGGATGCCGCGCGTCGCCAGCAGCTCTCCAGGGCGGAAGTAGCAGTGGAACATCAGGGGCAGGGCGCGCGCCATGAATCTCTCCCCGCGCGCGAGGACGAATGCCGCGCAGCGCGATCCGCGCGGCAGCGGCGGGCGCGACTGGACAGGCCGGCGTCGCTTCCAGCCCGGCGGGGCCCGCCTGCCCCGGGGCAGGACCACTCGAGGCGGTCGTCCAGGCCAGGCCGGGCCCGCGGCAGAGCCGACGGCTACTTGGCTGTGCGGCGAGGCCTCGCGCGCAAGTCAATTCGTCGCGCGGGTGCCGAAGATCGCATCGCCCCACCCGGGGGTCGCCCGACCCGGCAGCAGCTCCAGGCCCAGCCAATCGCAGAGGCCAGGCGGGGATCGCAGGCTCTGCTGGGTCGACGGCAGCGCAGCCTCCAGCTCCAAGCCCGAAGCGCTCGAGCCCAGGAGGCGATGCCAGGGGGGCGCAGCGCGCCGCGAGGGCCCCCCCGGCGGCCGCTCGCGCCGCGCCCCGAGATCCGCTCGCGGACGAGGGGTCGAGGGCGAGGCAGGGTCGCCACGATCCTCTGCGAGCCGACGACGTGAGCGCAGACGATGCGCTCATGCCATAACAGCTCGATGGGGGCCAGGTCGTAGAAGACGATCACCCGCTGGCCCGCTGGATCTCCATCTTGGGGCCGCCCTCGACGACCGACAGGTGCGAAGACGTGCCGGATCGAGAGGCCCTCCGCTGCGACCAGGCCCAGGTGCCCTTGATGGCGCAGACCGCGCCGCAGAAGAAGGCGAAGAGCGAGGCGAGCAGCACGACGCTCGCGGGGTGGCAAGTGCACTCTGGCGTGGCGCACGGCGCCGGCACTGTGAGGCTCGCGGGTCCGCACCGCTGGAGCTGAGCCTCGAGCAGCCCGAGGAGCTCGCGATCGACCGACAAACCCTCGCCGAGGTCCACCGAGCACGTGCAGTGATGCCCGTGCCAGACCGCCCCCAGCTGCGCGAGGCTTCTCACCGCCCCCGCCGCGCTGCTCGCCCACTCCTTGGGTAGGCGAACTCACGACTCGCAGGACTGAGCTTGATCAGTGACGTATACGGAACAGCACAATGCACAAGCCAACACGATCACCGATCTCTCTCTCTCTCTCTTTCTCTATCTCTCAAGAGAGCGAGAGAGAGACAGAAGCGAGCCACAAACGAGGCGCCCGAGGGCCGCGCCCGGCCTGCATCTGGTCCAGCCGCAGCGAGAAACCCTCCAGCTGTTGGGCGCAGCCGGCCTCTCACGAGAAGGGGGGGGGGGCTCCAGGACCTGCGCCGCAGCCCCCGTCCTCCTCCACGATCCTGCATTCTCCCGCCACCTGTCCTCCTTCCCTCCCTCCCTCCATCCCACCCTCTTCCCTCTGCCTCGTCTGGGGCCTCTTCCTCTTCCTTCCCCTTGTGCTTTTCCTCCTCCTCCCTCCCTCCCCCCTTCCTCCCCCCTCTCTCATTCATCCCTCCTCCCCGCCCTCCTCATGCTTTCGCGCGGCAACTTCCTTGTCAGTGACGATGCTTGTCGGCGGATCGGCGACCAGGCTACGAGCACGGGTTGGAGTTTCTCTCGACTCTGCGATTCATGGCTGGCGTGGACGCATCGGAAGTCTGCCATGTGCATCGCGAGTTCACTGCCGACGCCAACGGCATCTGAAATGCGGTACTAGAGTTGGTAGATGCTGGGGTCCCCTCAGACGCCCGCCAGGACTATTGCAGCATGAATTGGGCTCCCTCTCCTGGAGATCGGTTCATGGCTGCACCGACGTGCGATGTGCTCGTCGACCTCCCAACTTCCACGCTGTCAAGGTTCCCACCCACCCTCCTGGGATTCGCCCTCTTCGTCGTCCTCGCCATCGCTCGGACGCCCATTCCCCATGCATCGGTCGGTTTCGTGCGTCTTTTTTCGCCCGATGACCCAAGACGCTCCTCGATGGTCCTCGCCGTGAAATCCGAGCGATGCCAAGCGTCGGTCCCCCTGCTTCGCTGGTCACTCTTGCCCCGCCTTCGGGCCTGGCGCCTCCCGCTTGCGGCCGCGTTCGCCTGGCAGCTGCACCCGAGACGATCTTCGGTTCGTCGCACACGTCGCTCCAGTGCACTTCGCCGCCGCCAAGCTCGCCCATTGCACATGTGTCGTTCGAGCCTCGACCCATATCCTGCAGGGACATACCGATTGCAGGGCAATGCGTAGATACACATGTGCACAAGGTGTACCCTCTGACCCATTCCGCATCAGGCTGCTGAGCGAACTCAGCGTGGCTGTAATTATGTGAGGGCAAACATCCTCCCCCTCCCCCCTCCCTTTCACCTCCTCCCTCCCCCGCCCCTCTGCCTCCTCCCTCCGCCGCCGTCCTGCTCCTCCTTCCCCCTCCATCCCCCGCCCCACGCCAGAGGCCGAATTCCAAATTCTGGGGGCCAGGCCCCCGGTGACCCCTTACGCAAGCCCCTCTTCCCACGGGCTCATGCCCTCCACCTTTTTCCCACTAACGTCGTCGCCAGCGGCGTCGTCGTCGACGTCAGCGGCGTCGCCGCTGGCGCCGTCGCCGCCGTCGCGTTCGTCGTCGCGGACGGGGTCCTCGATCAGCTCGGACAGCTTCTCTTGTCCAACAGCCTTCCGCAGGCGTCGCAAGGAGGAAGCGAAGGTGGCAGTAGTAGTAGTAGTAGTAGTAGTAGTAGTAGTAGTAGTGGTGGTGGTGGTGGTGGTGGTAGTAGTAGTAGTAGTAGTAGTAGTAGTAGTAGTAGTAGCGCAAGGAGGAAGCGAAGGTGGCAGTAGTAGTAGTAGTAGTAGTAGTAGTAGTAGTAGTAGTGGTGGTGGTGGTGGTGGTGGTAGTAGTAGTAGTAGTAGTAGTAGTAGTAGTAGTAGTAGCAGTAGTAGTAGTAGTAGTAGCCATAGTAGTGGTAGCAGCAGTAGTAGTAGTCTTCGCATTAGTAGTAGTGATAGTAGTAGTAGTAGTAGTAGTAGTAGTAGTAGTAGTAGTAGTACTAGTAGTAGTAGTAGTAGTAGTAGTAGTAGTAGTAGTAGTAGTAGTAGTAGTAGTAGTAGTAGTAGTAGTAGTAGTAGTAGTAGTAGTAGTAGTAGTAGTAGTAGTAGTAGTAGTAGTGTAGTAGTAGTAGTAGTAGTAGTAGTAGTAGTAGTAGTAGTAGTAGTAGTAGTAGTAGTAGTAGTAGTAGTAGTAGTAGTAGTAGTAGTAGTAGTAGTAGTAGTAGTAGTAGTAGTAGTAGTAGTAGTAGTAGTAGCAGTAGTAGTAGTAGTAGTAGTAGTAGTAGTAGGGTAGTACCTGGTCTTCGTGTCGCTACAAACCTCACCTTCGTGTACTTTTCTTTTGTATCAGGCCTAATAGAACTCCTACCAGGGGAATTACGAAAACCGTAGTTTCAAACCTGGCCTTCGTGTCTTTCGCGCCAATGCCTACCTTCGTGCACTATTCGCTGTAGAGGCTGTAGATTGGATTCGTATTAGAAAGTGAACAAAAAACGACAGTTTTACACCTGTCCTTCGTGTCGACGTCGGATTTGGAGCAACCGCCACTGCCAGCCGCTTTATTTCGGCACAACCCTCTCGAGGATCGTGGGCCTGGCCCTCCGACGCGCGATTCCGGCGCGCACTTCACTAGGATCGTGGCCCTGGTCCAAGTGGGAGCGCTGCCAGGCCCACCGACGTCCAATTCCGGCACGCCGCTCACGAGGATCGTGTCC